ATATTAAAAATGAAAAAATTTATTATTTTCGAGGTGTTGTTTCAAATCCTAAATTTTGAAATAAGCAGATAAAAAAATTGGGGTGTAGATATTTTTTTTTTATGCTTTACATATGCAAAGCCAAGCAAAATCGGTAAAAGATCCAACACGTGACGATTTTTTTGTAGGTTGTATTCAGTCTATTATAATGTGTCTTGGCAAACAGAAGAGTTAAAAAGCTAGTCGTAGTTGTTTGCAAATTGGTTCAGAATTCTTACGAAACTGCCATTATCAAGATACCTTTATCTCATCAACAATGATGGCGGACAAAATCGGCAAAAAGTTCTATCTTCAAACAGCCAGTTGCAAAGTGAAAAGTTATTTTCAGTTGTTAGGAACATAACATTCATAAATTAATTATGCATTCACGATGATGGTTTTGTGCAAGTGGTATACAGCGACATTTCGAAATATAAGCATGAAATGCAACATGATAATAATAATCTTGTTGATAATGCCGCATGAGATAATTAATAATAAAACATTAAATAACTATTATATACTATATTATAATATATTAAGTAACTTAGAAATTGTTACAAACATATAAATATTGATATACAGTATTTGTATCAAAACAGTCTATTTAATTATTTTATAAATTATATAACTTCACATAAATTTTAATTTGGATTAACAATATTCTATTAAAACGTTTGGATAATTCAATGTATTTCGTTTACGAATATAAATGTTTGTTACATTGGAATTATTCTTGTATTTACCAATCGAAACCAAAGCTTGTATAGAAATTAATCGTGGAATAAGCGCGTGATGTTCGCTGGTAGTTAATGTATCAAGCTTGATCAATATTTTTATGATTAATTAATAAGTTGACACACGTGTTGAATGACAGTGTCTCAATATTTAGAGAAAATAAAGTAAATGATTTTTATTGTATGATTAAAATTTGTGTCAGTACAGTCTTCCGTCATAAAAAGTAACCAGGTTAACTGAATATTTAAACTGTTTGAATAAGTGATAATCGATATCACGGTATTATCAAACATATATACTTGTTGGGACAAAGTCTCAAAGTAAATTTGTCTTTAAGATGTTAAACATGAAGTAGCGATATACAACAGGAAGTAATGAAATCCAATGGAACTTTCTTAATAACGATATGATAGATTTATTAACAAATTACGTGTTTTATAGTTAAAAATGTACGTTATTCTCTTTATGATTGCAGCAGCAATCAAAAATTAGTTTACTAATGTGTCATGTATGAATCAATGAATTATTAGAGACTTCTGCAAAGCCACAGCTTTGAAACGTTAGATTATCCCATATCGCACGTATTCCAAGAGAACTGGAACTATCCGCATCGAAACGCAATCAGCTTAACTCTGAAACGCAATAAATCCCTTTGACGCATCGTGTGCTTGTTGTTCCCGTTATTGAATCGCCGAAAGCGCACGATTAAGACTCTGGCCGATAAATTCCTTTTTTTCAGTAGAAGCAAAAAGGTTGATGTAAAAAGCGTATCTTTTGGACTACGCTTTGCCTATCCAATAAAGCGAAGACAAAATTCCTATTGCCTATATTTCTGTCTTTCTCTATATAACGTTAATGGATTCTGACGATGGCGGACAGGGCATGAATAAATCGAGTTGTTCGTACGGACCGATTGAGTAGTTCAACTCGATGCTTGACATTTTCACACCAGCGACTATTAACAACTATATCATCACGGTTTGTTTGAGACTCACATATATCGCAGACGCGCGACGTGAGATAAATCGCGACAAATCTTCGTGTGTAAAAATATCGGCTAATTACTAAGACAATGGAGAACATGTTGAAGATAAGGAAACAAAGGTAGTACTGGGATGTATCTCCATTCCGAGTATGGAACATTAATCACTAGTGAGAACGACAGCCTGTTGCTCGTTACTAGTCAGTGAAAGAAGACTTACAGACCTTCAATCATCATTTCAAGGCGTAATGGTACTTAATTTGTACCAGTTTATCATTAGCGACAGTCGGATTAAGGCCAATTAAAGCGAAGGCGGTGGTGAGTGGTCTGTACCGTGGCTCTGGAGTTGATTATGAAGTGACAGATATATATTAGATCTAGATTGATCAGACTGCATCGATAAGACGCAGTTGACTCGGTCCAACGCGGTTTCGATTTCAGAAGTTACCAGTGTTCAGCTTGTCGCGAACGATGAAAGAACCGAGGAAACAACCATTGAAATTGAATGATAATTAGTTGCTTAATTGCAACCTTCGTGTGCCGATAAGTAGATATGAGAATAAAACAGTAGAAAAAAAACGTAAAATAAAAATTAAATAAATTATTTCAAACTATCTCTCCGTTGAAGTGAATCGTGCGATCGCGGTGAGTGTATAGACGGTGGATAATAATTTTCGATCAGTAATATTTCCTTAAAATAAGCTTTAAAGTTATATACATATACATATGTATATATATATATATATATATAATAAATACAGCCTTCTTGTGGAACAAGTAAAGTAATATTGCCATGTATTTCTATGTGTGAATATATTTGTTTCGACCGTGATTTGAAGAGTGAAAAATAAAAAAAAGAAAAGAGAGAGAGAGAGAGAGAGAAAGACAGAGAAAAAAATTGTAAATAATTAAAATAATTAAAATATGTTAGAATCACGGTTGTCACATTCTGACAAAAGCTTCACTAAATTTCGATGGCTCTTCTACTGGAGATCTCATTGTTTTAAAATATTTAAAAAATAATTCTAATATTTTTAAAATAATTAAACATTATTAAAAAGCCGTAGCTTGAAAAATAACTACGAACATTTAAAAAATTCAGTAAATATTAGCTAAAAAAAGAGTGATACGCCAATCACATTCTATCAGATAATTCCAACTGTGGTTGCCAACCTTTCCCTTTTTAATCAGCAATTCCAGTTTTCTGAACGAATCTCCGGCTTTCTGGTAGAAAAATCTCCAGCTAATATTTCTCTAAATTTTGATAAATTTTTTAAGTGCGCGCGCTTTTTTTAAGTCGATTTTCCTTCAATCAGGAGAGCAAAAATTAGATGACCGTTTTTATTTCACAAGCAAAAAGAACACATAAAGATAATAACAATTTCGACAATACTGCTCCATCTTCAGCAAGATAGTGGAATCTTCAGCAAAAGAGCCATCGATATTTAGCGAAACACTTGTCGAAAAATGGCAACTGTATGATTTCAACATATCGTATTGTTTTCAATTGAAAGTATCGATGTCCGAGTGACCTGAAATCAAGAGTATTCAATAAAGAGGAAACTACTTGTTGGATTCGTCGTTGAAGGCTGAAGCTTCGGAATCTCACTAGAAGAAATAGGGCAGCCGTTCCATTCTCGTCTCACATGGCTGCAACCACGAGTGTAAGTGGCACAGTTCCGTTCGCGCATCGTAGCTGCAATGCGCCGCTGTTCCGATTTTATTATCGCGTAAAAAACAAAACCGACATGTTTCATGAAAAACACAATTCTACAAAATTTAGTTTACGTATATTATTAGTTGTACTTGTATTTACGGTCAGACTTATATTAAATAAACTAATTTTTTATTCTTATACCAAAAAATATTATGACATATATATATATATATCATAATATTTTTTGGTATACCGTATTATTTTTGGATAATTAAATATAATTCCATTTTTAATAATATGTAGAATACAATTCCTTATCATATAACTCTATCTTCGATTTCTGTTGTCTTCTGTTATATGAATGTTTCGTTATATAAATTCTTCAAAACGTAATACAATAAATGTATAGTTATATATAATATTACATTATACACATATAATACTATATTATTAATATTATTATAACTATAAATTTACCGATTAATACTATATTAGTTAATTTGCGATCATTAAATAGTAATTGATAATCGATGCGCTTTGTCAATCAATTTTCATACTGATTCGGCGCTCTAACTTGTTCGAAAAAGATCATATTAATTGCTTCTTGTAATATTAGTTAATATTAAATTCTTCACGAAATACTGTTGGTAAGGACCGACAACCGATGAGCTCTACCATCTCGATGATTATAAATATCACAGTTGCTAGAAGGAGGGATCGCGAACGTGGAACGTCGGGAGAGAGTGACGTAAAAAAGGAAAAAAAAGAATAAAAAGAGATACAAGCAAGAATGTATGTACGCGAACACGAATGCAGGCGGCGAAATATCGGCGCGTGCGCGTTTTGACGACGCGTCCGATACGCGAACGCGACCAAAGTACTAACGAAATCGTGAAAGTGATCATATCCGAGAAGAGCGGCTGGTCGATCATGTAACACGTTGTTTTTAGAATTAGATAGATTGCACATTTATATTCTAAAAGAGTTGGGTCGAAGAAAAACATGACAGGAGTAACCGATCCGCTGGTGAGTATCGATTTCGTCTTGCATTCGTCGAGTTCACGTTTCTTTTATCGCATTCTGAAGTATGTTTCACGGTCAGATAAAAACTCGTTTTTAGCGAAGTTGTAAACGCACGTATGTACGCGGCGATAATGGTATCATCTCACTTTCGCAGAGGCGCGCACGCTGGCGTGCGCTCGAGCACACGTGGTCTACGATAATGTCGAGTATCTACGAAATAGGACGGAATTTCTCATCTTTTTCAACTTTTTGATATGGTTCGCGAATCGCGAACAAAATCGAATGTCTTAATTACGAGCATACTTTGTGATTCAACGCGGTTCATACATAACGCTTAAAGTAAAATGGGAAAATACGGTCGAAACACATAATATTGCGTAATTTCTTAATATGCATCTTGCAAAATATAATCTTTACAGAATAAGTAAAATTGCCAAAGCCATAAATTATTCACTGGCAAAGCATTTCAAACGAGAGAAAAAGAGAGACGGAGAGAGGGAAAGAGGGAGAGAGAGGGAGGGAGGGGGGGAAGGAGGGGGGAGGGAGAATTCGTGCAAAGCAAGAAATTTGAGCATCATATATCCTACCCGTAAAAGGATCAAAAGGATCTCTCCAAATATGATTGGCCTGATCGATTTCACCGCATTGGCGGTACTCGCAGGACTTAACGGGAAATGTTCCAACATCGAAGGATGCAACGGAGCATTGACCGACATCGGCGACTTATGTAATATTCCTTGTGTCTCGAATCGTGTGCTCCATTTTGTTACACGGATACACCCGTCGCCGTACGTTCGCGGCATGTCCCCGAAAATATACTCGGAGCGATTAATTTCTATCGTTCCGTCGATTACGAAGTGAGCATGGGTGTTCCGTTCAAGTTGATTTTCAAACATTTTGCGGGCAATTGCGTGCGGTGGCTCGGAAAAGTCGCGAAAAGGTGCGCGAACACGTTGGTGAGTACTACGGGATGAAAGCCAAGATATATTCGCCGTTGCTCGTACGCTTATCAGAGTCAACGTTGTTGCGTGCTTTGAGCTATCGCGATAAGTATACGTATAATAGTTACGTGTATAATAGTTGCCGCTGACGAGATCCAAGCTAGGTTATGTCGTGAGTAAACACGCGACCATGAAGAGCGATGTATCATTCTTTGAAAATGCGCATGTGCAGTCGATCGTGACTTTATTTTGGCGCCATGCTCAATTGGAGAACGGTAGATGCTCAGTCGACAATTAATGCCCATTTTCACAACTTTCATTTATAAACTTACTTTTTAGTGCACTAAAAAGAATAATAACGAGAAAACATCAAAAATAATTTAAAGGAAATTTTTCGCATTATTTAGAAAAAGTCAAGTTTGGAGAAATGTAAAGGAATTGCTCATATATAATTCTATGTAAAATTATACATATAGTTAGTACGAGCAATTTTTCCAAACTTGATTTTTTCTAAAACAAACAATGCGAAAATTGTCCCGTTAACAAGATACTTTTGACATTTTCTCGATATTATTATTATTTTTAATATATTAAAAAGTAATTTTACAAAAGAAAGAAAGATGTATGGACATATTTCATGTATAATTATGTATGAATATTTACGTGTGTTAGATATGTTTATACATATTTTTTATGTATTAATGTATAAAAACTTTTTTGCCGGATAAAAATAATATAACATCAATGTTATAATTTCGCGCTCAACAAGATGAATGTGATATAACACGTGGTGTTATATTACATGTCATTACATTGTTGAATGCGAAATTATGACATTAATGTTATATAAGTTATGTTACTTTTAATTGATGTGAACTTGAGGATGTTTTGAATGATTATACGAGACTGCCCGCGCTTGACGAACATTCCCTTTTGTGTGTGTGTGGGTGTGGGTGTGTAAGATACATCACGTTTTTCATTAATAACTTTTATTTAAAACTTTCTCTAAACTTTAATTTCATATTATCAGTAAAGCAGAGGCTAATTAGTGAATTTTTTCGCATGACGATATAGATCACTAAATCGCGGAATTTTCGAGTTCTTTAAGAAAAGAAGGTGGATTTTCATTTGATTTCTTACATTGCTACATTAATCACTATCACCTGTTGCTTCTCACTTCGGAAAAGACTTCTGCATTCCGTCACGCGCAAGGAGATGTACGCACAAGTATTAGATGCGCTGTTTATTTTAATCGACAATGACGTTCAAGCGTTCGCAGAAATATTTCGTAAATCTTATAACGTAATAATAATAATAATAATAATATGGCTCAATAAGAGTACAATTAACAATAATAAATTATAACGACTACGAGCCGAACAATATCTTTTAATATTCAGAATATCATAATAATCAACGTTATAAATATAATATAGACGTTTCGACACCGATCGAGTCACTATAAATGTTAAACAAATTATAACATAAAATTAGCAGTTACACGTACAATTTTATAGTTAAGTAAAACATGAAAATATAAAAAATACACAAAACTCTCTCTTATTCAAAAAATCTATGTGTTTGATGTTTCAGACAAAAAATGTGATTCATCACCAATTGTATAACAAAAATAATAGTCGTGTTAACCGTAATTATTAAGTGTCCCGATAGGTGAATTTTCCATGTGATAAAAAAAATGAAAGTCCAAAGATAAAAAGACAAATTTTTCGAAAAGATAAAAAGTCAGGTCCATGTTAAACGATAAAACGCAATCAAAATTCATAGTCAATAGAAAAAAAGAAGCCATAATGCAATAGAGATCAGAGTGTAAAAATTATTTCAAATCTATATCAAGAAACATTATATAATGTATATAACATCATCGTATGTCTCTTGATATAGATTTAAAATAATTTTGACATTCTAATCTCTATCGCATTATTGCTTCATTTTTATTCTGTTGACTGTAAATTTTGACTGCGTTTTTTCGTTTGATCAAGAACTTATATTTATACAAAGGGAAAAATCAACCTATCAAGATTTAATAATTATAATACGGTTAATACGACTATTATTTTGTTATACAATCAATGATGAACCACGTTTATCTGTCTGCCATCAAATACATGGATTTATTGGATAGGAGAAAGTGATTTTTCGTATTTTTTATCTTTTCATGTTTTACTTAACTAATATAAATAAAATTATATGTATAACTGCTAATTTTATATTATAATTCAAATTTGTTTAACATTGATCCGATCGGTGTCGAAATGTTTATATTGTTTACAATGTTGATTGTTATTATATTCTGAAGATTAAAAGATACTATTTTCGGCTCATAGCCTTTCTAGTTTATTATTGTTCATTTTGTAAATCACTCTGGCGAAAAATAGTGATTAATTTTTAATCGGTGGCGTTATAATTGTTGTAAGATTTATAGCTGAGGAAACTTAGAATACAAACTTAATTTTTTCTAAATAAAGAAGGATACCTAAAATATTTACATCGCTTCAATTCGAGCTGTAAATGTCACACAGCAGCAAAGAAAACTATCGTCTTTCCTCTAAAAATCAATATCAATTTCTATCTCAGATTGGCGTGCTAAAGGAAGCGGGACCAAGAAGTGAGATTGTGACGCAAGTCTCGTCTTCCCAGGACAAGCATCACGATGAACAAACGACAAAGCGCGAACGAACACAATGGAGGCAATGGCTAGCATGTATATCAGGTTTACATCATATTTCATGAAATATCGCGCCCTTAAAGGTAACATGAAAATCAATTCGGCAATCAATCACCATTAATCTTCCGTCAATCTCCATTTCACAGCGACTCTATCCATGGTAGCGGTCGGCACCGTCTACGGATGGACTACCACGTCGCTCTCACGACTCACATCCGGTGCCAGCGACGTTCCAATAAAGATAACTGACAATCAGGGCTCATGGATCGTATCGTTGACGGTGATCGGCTCAATGATCGGTCCGTTCCTCGGTGCCAGTCTTGCCGATCGATATGGTCGTAAGAAGTGCCTTTTGTTCGCAAGCGGTTTCTTCATCGTCGGCTGGACAATCGTCTTCTTCGCCCAGACTGTAGTTGCTCTTTACGTTTCTAGGATGATTCTCGGCATTGGCGTGGGCATCTCGTACACTACCAATCCGATGTACGTATCGGAGGTCGCTGACGTCGAAATTAGAGGCGCCCTCGGTACTCTGATTGCCGTGAACGTGTTCACCGGTTCCTTGCTGACATGTAGTATTGGTCCGTGGGTATCGTACCACGTTCTGACAGGTATACTTCTCACGGTACCCATCTTATTTGTGGCATGTTTCTCCTGGTTCCCCGAGACTCCTGCCTTTCTCGCGACCAGGGGTCGTAGAGCAGAAGCAACTAGGTCTCTGGCGTTCTTTAAAGGAATTCGCGATCGCGACGAAGCAAGGAGAGAATTGGAATACACTTTACGTAACGTTTTTATCGAAGACGTTTGCGACAATACCCCAGTAACCGGTCCTGGAGCTCGAACGGAACCTGTTAAGCGCAGCTGGATGGGAAAACTGAAACTGATGCTGTTGCCCAGTAACGCCCGAGCTCTCGGCATTATACTCAGTCTAATTGCTACGCAGCAACTCAGTGGAAACTTTAGCACTATACAATATCTTGAGGTGCTCTTCAAGAAAGCAGCGATCGGCATCGATTCCAACGTGGCTACGATACTTGTGCTCGCGGTCGGCCTCATCTCATGCGGATTATCAACTGCGACCGTTGAAGGCGCGGGCAGACGTCCGTTACTGATCGCCTCCACCCTGGGTTCTTCCATTACCCTGGCAATTCTTGCGATATACCTTATGCTAGACGAAAGAGGCATCGATGTATCAGCAGCAAATCTTCTTCCAGTGATCGATGTGATCATTTTCCAAGTGGCCTACCAGATCGGACTGGGTACTCTACCAAACGCGTTGATCGGAGAATTATTCCCTACTGAGGTGAAAGCGTTCGCCGGTGCCATTATCATCGTTTTCGACGGCGTGCTTGGTTTTATCGTATCCAAACTGTATCAGGTGATTGGCGATTGGTTGGGCGCTGACACCGTTTATTATTTCTTCGCGGGATCGTGTTTACTGGCATTCGTGATGGTGATATTCACCGTGCCCGAGACCAAAGGTCGGACATTCCGCGAAATTCAGGAACTTTTGGGAGGTAACGAGAAGAAAAAAGAGGTCACCGAATGTTTGCAGAATCGAAATAATATAGTATGACAAAAAAGAACATTTCGCACATCTTTACTGGATATGGTGCGAATTTATTAACGAGATAACGTCGTCGGACGTTCTTTTCAAAGCAACGAACATTAAAACGGCAATTACTTACTCTCAACTGTATATAAAATGTACGTTTACACGTTTTTCATGCAACAAAAATCAAGACGCAAAGGTGAAATCGCTTTTGCCTGTTTACCGCGATTTTTCTCGTACCTGCCAGCGGGAAATAAAGTGGTTTTTATTAATATCGTTTTTGCTGCATAAATTCATCCTGATAGTTTTATTCATGTTCCTTCAACTGTAAATATTTTTCGCCAATACTCCAAAGATTATGTGGTTGTGTCGTGAAATATAATATTTATTTAAAACTCCGCTATGAAGAACTGTCTTTATAAAGCTTTTATCGTTTTTTTCACGCCGGATGTTAGGCGGATCAGGTATTTAAGGGGACGTTAAACTTCAGAATTTCTCATACATACAAATATTTAAATAAAGAAAACTGCGTGAGAGAGAAACAGAAGTAAAAAGGACTGGCAAGTAAAAATTTCTAGTAAACACGCCGCATTTCTTATATACGATAAGCATAAAAATCATAGCTAGACGACGGTTAAACACTGAGATGAGCAGAAAGAGAGAGAAAAAATGCTTGAAAAATCGCGAGACTGTATCGCAATAAAGAACAAAAAGAAAGCTTAATGGGAAATCCTCCAGAGTTCTGGTATATGTTGTCAAGAAAGACGAACGTTTTCATAACCACTGATTACATATATACATATATATATAGGTATATATATATATATATATACACACACACACAATATATACATACATATATATATTTTCGCATGTTTACATATTGTTTTATAAAATATATTAAATATTCTATTAAATGTCATTCGTTATAAATATAATATGTTCACAATATTCTTTCGAATAATGCAATCAATGAAGTACTATATCTGCACGATTATGATAAGACGCGATAGAAAAATATATGTATATCTAGCCATGGAATTTTTTTTTATTTTATAAAAAAATATTCAGGCGATGTTTTTCTCGATAAGCTTAGTATTTAATCAAAGCGGTTAGTAGTAAACATCAATTCATAGAACATCTGGCGTATGAGGATTTCGCACATATTAGACTTTAGCACCGACGTGCGGCAGATAGAATATAAAAACAGCATTTTTTAATGAAACATATATTTTAAAATAAAATGAAGAATTGACAGCTATCAGATTTCAATCGTGTTTTCTGCGTAAACAAAAATATCAAAAACGTATATATGCATCATCTTTTTGCAGATAAAATTAAAAATGAATATTTTGTTGCAAATTTGTTGTAAAACAGTTTGCAACAAATACCAATATTCTTTAAATCGGCTTAAAAAATTTTTACATTATATTCTTATAATCGGCTTAAAAAATCTTTACATTATATACAAAATGCAAAGCCGACAAGGAGAAAGAAAGGCAATTAAAGCACAAGGAGGACAGTGCTTTATTGAGTCAAAGAGAAATAAATAACAAAGTCAGTGAACAAATAATATTTTTAAAGAACAAGAAAGCCTTACGTCATGTGATGCTATTTCGAAATTTCATTTTCTCTTTTTTGTATCAATGAAGCCACAGAAGCGATATGATTGACGGAGAGCAGACATTTCAATTTACTTCTCGTATTACATGCTATGCTACCGAGTATTATTTCGAGGTCGCGGTATGCACCGTCCATTTATTCATTAAACAAAAAATTAATAAAAGACTACATTATAAAATCATTAACAAAGAACTACGTTATAACATAATTATATGAGCAAAAAAATTATAAAAAAGTATTGCGCGTAGGAGAGATAGGGGCTAATTATAGACTCACTTTTTTGTTTCGAATTTTTACAAACAAAATAAAGAGGCTTATCGAAAAAATGAATTCTATACTAGTTATTACATACATGGGAAACTGATAACTAGTATGAAAAAAATATATTTTTCTAATGCATTCCATCCACGTCGACTAGCCCCGGGACTGGGATAGGATGATACATGATGATATGGGGTAGTTTGACAATAAGGCTGTGTTCGGAAAGCACGCTATCAGTGCCATTTATGCAACATTATATTATCCTTGTTTCATATCTAATGAACGATGAAGATAAAATGACACAAATAGCGCTAATAGCGTCTTGCCGAACGCAGCCTAAGATTATTAAAATAATGTTTAATGTATTTTAAACTATATATACATTTGACTATATATTAATAAAATTTTTATAAAAGTATATTTTAAGCACAAAATACATTTCAAACATAAATATCGGTATTTAGTATAAAATAAAAAAATCTATAACTCTTATATATTGTACCTTTTGTCACTAGATAAATAATAACAATTTATCTAATCATCGTCATTTAAAATTCTTGAAAAAGAATGAAATCTCCAAAAAACGAGTGGAACATTTCACTCCTTTTTGAAGTGAGATCGCAGTGAATGACAGATTTCCTAACCTAACAACGGTCAACTTTAACAATTAATATCTCGCTTCGCGGCAGAGCGACTTTTATTTTATTAAATTTATGTCGTGCAAAAACACATCGAATGAAACTAGTTTCATCAAGATTAGACGTAAGGAGACTAAACTTAATATTTACCATTGAGGTAAATCTCTTTAAAGAAGTAAAATACTGCGATTCTTTTTCAAAAAGTGAAATATTTTCACTCTTTTTCAAAAGTGCCTGTATTTTCATTCTTTTAAGTGAAATTTCGGATAAACTTCCGAAAACGTCCAACGCTCGATTACATGAATTTTGGCAGAAATACTACAAATGACTAATAAACGCCCTTAAATATATTTTCACCGATAAGAAGGTTTAATGCCAAAAATGTTTAAATAAAGTTATATACCGTCTGAATGGATTATTTTTAGGCCGGAATCAGACTATGCATTGAAGATTGAGATTAAAGATTAAAGATTGAAATTTCACCAATAAGGACAAAGAAATTTTTTGGTTCCTTTTGTTCTGATTGGTCAAACTTCAATCTTTCAATCTTCAATCTCATCCTTCAATGCGTAGTCTGATTTCGGCCTTACACAGCTCATTCCAAATCATTTCCGAGTGTTGACCTCGATGTTGACCTCGACCTCCAAGAAGATCTATCTCATCTTCGTGCACCCCTAGGCAAAGGAAGGAAGGTGGGGTAGACCTCGTTTCGCATGGAAAGTCGTGCGCCCCTATAAGCGCGACTCACGAGGACAACATCTACGAAACTCCATTCCAGATACATAACTTTGCGTAAATATTTTTTTTATTAAACCTTCGTGTCGGTGAAAATCCAAGAACATTGATTTGATATCATTTAGATTATTTCTATCAAAAAATTCATGGCAAGCGGGCGTTGGACGTTTTCGAAAGTTCACGCGAAATTTTTCTTCAAGAAGTTTTGAGAGTAAGTATTATTAGAGTCGTCACTAAATGAATCATATAGTTCTATGCTGGGATTAGCCTATTAGCCCCATTCGTTCATTCTTTAAAAACATTAACAGTACATACAACAACAAAGATAAATAAACAAAAATAATCTATTGAATTTTATCAGGAAATGGAAGCAACTCGTTACTTTTTTTGTTTTTTTTTTGCCACAAAGTTACAGTTACAAGTTACTTTTTTGATAACTTTACTGCGTTATTTCTTTTTTTTTTTATAACGGTAACGTAGTTACATTTTTTTCGTAACGTAACAACAACTAATTTTACAGTTATTTTTATCGTTACTTTGCACACGATTGAACACGGTTTGATTGGACACAAGCCACTCACAGCGCTTAAGACTAGAAAGCCCCTAGGCGCCCGTCCGCTGTGATTAATG